CCTCTGGTAGTGGATTAGTATTTTTCCCTGGTATAAGAAGGGCCTTTGAGAGCCCATCCCACGTGAAGGGATACACTCTGGCCCTGGACACATCGGGAAGGCCCAAGGCTTAGTACAGGAAGATTTGGTGGACTTTGCAGAGCCCCTGTTGAGGGCCCTAATCTGTTGGCCTGAACAAGGGAGATCACATCGACCCCAGATGCTGTCTGGGAGGCCAGTACAAGACTGATCCAGACTCCTGAACATGGATGTCAACAAGGAGGCCTCTGCACTCCAGGGAGCCTCTGGTAGTGGATTAGTATTTTTCCCTGGTATAAGAAGGGCCTTTGAGAGCCCATCCCACGTGAAGGGATACACTCTGGCCCTGGACACATCGGGAAGGCCCAAGGCTTAGTACAGGAAGATTTGGTGGACTTTGCAGAGCCCCTGTTGAGGGCCCTACTCTGCCTGGGGATTGGTAGATGGATGAGGCGGGGGGAAGGTATGGGGTGGGGGAAGAGGGATGGGAGTGAGGGGAGGGAGAGGGAGAAGGGACTTTCATGTGAAACAAGCTTGTTCCCTAACTTGAACTAATAAAATAAAATTATAAAAAATTACCATGAATATAAAGCAATAACCTAAATGATTTGTTTTTTTTTCTCTTAAGACCTTTCCCATATTATTGTAAAAGGGACCTTTGATGATCTCCAAAATTCTCTTATGGTCAATTTACAATAGAAAATACTTGTATTTAAAATGCAATACCCAGGGCTGGAGGGATGGCTCAGCCGTTAAAGGCTAAGCTCACTACAAAAAATATAAAATGAAATTATTATTCTGTTTTTTTGAAAATAGGAGTTTCCCTTTTCAGATAACATATCCTGATTTGCTTTACCCCTCCTTGTACTCCTCCTAGTTCCTCCCTACCTCCATTTCTGTCTGGATCCACCCCACCCCTCTATTCTGTCTTTTAATAGAAAACAAACAGGCTTCTAAGGGGTTAAAACAAAATGCCACAAATACTAAATAGAATAGCACAAAGCAAAGAGAAAAAAAGAGACCAAGAAAAGGTGCAAGAAACAAATTCACTCAGGAATCTCATAAAAACACTAAACTGGAAGCCACAATATGTATTCAAAGAATGTGTAGCATAAAAAGAGAGAAGAAAACTGTGAATAAAATAAAATAAAAGTACAAATAAGATAAAATTAAAAAACAAAAGGTAAAAGCTCTGACATGATATTACGAGACAAAGAACCTGTAATGGTACTGTTGTATTGGTTTTCTATTGGCCATTGGCTGGTGGTTATGCATCCTACTTTTAGGAGAAATTGTTTTCCCAATGAGACGCCCTTGGAGGAAAGTAAATTTTAATTTTCCAGTGTTTTTCCCTTGGAACTTTCTTCTAGATTAGACATAGAGACATGTATGTATTTCTCTGTAAACTCTAGGACAAATGCAGGCCCAGGTTCAGAAACATACAGACCCTGTTCATGCTGCCTTGGTCTCCAGTTCATATAAAGGGCTATCTTTTCTTGGCATCCTGCATACCTCCTGGCTGTTACACTTTTTTTTTTTGCCTCCTCTTCTTCGGGTTTGAAGAACTCTGAGAGGAGGGATTTAATGGAGAGTTGTCATTTAAAACTCCTTTCAGCCTTGTTGACTACAACATATTTCTTTCTTTTAGAATGATTCCATTCCCTATTAGCAGCTTTTCTTGGTAGGTATTCCAAGGCATTCCATCTTCAATATCTTGAAGTATTCAAGGAAATCCAGTTTTTACCTTCACAGCATCATGCAATTGCCCCTCTAAGCCTCCATTCATGGACACCCTCTGCCAAATACCTGGCGGTGGCTTTAAAAATATGGACTGATTCTCAAATTTGCTTGTAATCCTTCAACATGTACCAAGTTGATCTTTGTATAATTCCAATTTTAGTATATGTGCTACTGAAGTAAGCACCCCATATTTTATATATGCAAAAATTATTTTTATTTTTAATTTTTACAACTCCCAGAGTTCAGGTCACTATTTCTCTTCTGGTACTATTAAGGGTGGTTTCTCTTTAAGGATAATAATGATCTCTGTCTGGCTTATAAATATCTACATTTCACAGACAATAATACATCAAATATTTCACAGATTAATTTCCTTACATTTATTTTTTTACATTATCTCTCCCCTGAGAAATTCCACTGTCTTTATCCAACAATATTTATCAAGATTAAAAGAGCTTATGACTATGTTTCTCTTTCCAGTAATACAGGATTATTTATCTTCATTAAGGTCTATATTTTCTTTATATTTGAACCAAGTCATTGCCATAGTATGTACTAATATCTTCTTTAGTATATTCCTTAACCTACAATAGTTATATATTGTTTATTTATTCACTGAAGAAAAATTCAATAAAAATATCACCCAAGCAATTTATTTTTAGAAAAACAAGGGCTCATTTGATATCACTTGTCAAAAAAACAGTTGTCAGATAATCCCACAAACTTCACTCAGGGAAAAATTAGATAAGGCACGTTAGTTCTCTCATTCCCAGGGTTGAATGACAGTTTTATGATGTGACTTGACTGCAGTCAATAAGCTGTGGCTTACCACAATATCACTGAGTTTCATGTTTCACTTTTCCTTGGCTTCATAATCTCTAAGTCTGACAACTGCTGATCATATTTTCGCTATAATCAAGATTGGCATTTTACCAAAGGTCAACTGGTTTAAAGTGCTGTGCTTCAATATAGAATATTGAGACATATTATATTTATAAAATATTACAACACTGTTCAAATTCTTTATGAAATGTTTGGGAGCTGGAATTATAAAACAAATAAAATTATATTTAAGTAATGAGTAGAAGGAGAAATATAAAATTGTGTGGCATGGATGTAGGAAATAATATTCATCATCTTATTGCACTTAATGTCTAGCAGCCTAATTGTCATTATCAAATATATTTGTTCTTTAAGGAAGTTTTACTGATTGTCCATTATGATTAAGTAAATTTTAGGTAGTTAATTAACAAAAAGGAAGCAAATGTTAAAAGTACTCTAAATGTTAATTTGACAACATGCAATTAAATCCTAGGATCCATTTTCTACATTAAACTTTTTGATATCAATGAATTATGCTATGCAACCAGATGAAGAAAAATGTGGGTCATAGTATTTCATTTCACATAGTATTATCAAGTAGCCTCCACAAAGTATAAAGTTATTCTGTTTGTATAAGTCAACATGAGATAGATGTATATATCAAATTTGAACTACAATTAAATGGGAATTGACTCTAAATTTAGGATTTATAAATGATTAAATGATTATTTTAAATGTTTTTATTTTTTGGTTTTGGTTTTTTATTTTCTTTTTAAATATTACTCTTAATTTTGCTTTTACCAGTATGCATTAATGATACATGTATTTTATTATCCCTTTCCATGCATACACACACACACACACACACACACACACACACACACACACATATATATGGGCCATATTTTAAAAGGTTTTCCTGCACAGAAGCTTTTCTAAGGAGAAACAGAATATCAGCTACCTCTGAATGGAAAATGAAATAGCAGAGGGAGGGCTGTGCAAGAAGCCAGTTAAAAAATATAGAGAATCAGGAAGTATTTGGCCCTTAAAGCTGTATTACAGTGACAGGGATTCTCAAGTTTCAGGTGCCCTTGGTCTAGTCAGAAGTAGGATGTTTTCTCCTCAGGTCTTTTGGTCAAGTCAGGAAAGAATGTTCTTTCCATGATCTCTTTCACCTACATTTCTCTCATTTTTGCTTACTATTGATAACTAATCATGGATCAGAAGAGAGAGTGACATTATCATGAGAAAGTGACATTATCATTAAACTATTTCCTGTAACAGGAGGGTGTTGACCTCAATGGGGCAAGCTGCTAGTGATATCCTTGTGTAATTTTAGGGCCATAGGCCTCTGGTCCAGTAGTTAAGGGATGATGATCCTGTAATAGCAAGTGATTAAAGGTTTGACTAGAAATTTTTTGGATTTGTTGTTGAAGAAATCTAGACAGAAAGTTTATAAGACAGAATACCATTAGTGCAGTTGGAAAAAGAAGGGAAAGGAGATTAAGAAAGGCAGTATCCAATTCCATATTGGACTGTCAACAATCCATAGACCAGAGCCACTAAGATGTTATGTTTTGGAGATCTGTCTAGAGTTGTCTGCTGTTGACTTTTACTATACCTGATTGGTTGACATTTCTTCCTGAGGAAGGTGGAATATCACCCTTCTAGTTTGATGATAGAGAAAGCATGCAAAAAGAAGAATTATGGTAGAGAGTGATGTAGTTGTTATAAGGAAAATTGTCTCTTACTTGCTACCTGCCATTGAGCAGTTTCTAGATTCACCATGTGCATAGTCTGGGTGAAATGTTGAATGTAAGTTTCTTGAACCTCAAATATACACATGTAGTCTGCTAATCACAGTAGTGAACTGAGAAGGTAGAAAAGGAAAAGTATAGCATAATCCAATGGGGACACACTTGAGTCTCGACAGATGTATGAGGCCTTGCTCCTCTGAGAAAGCTATTTGACCTTGGTATCTTCTGAATTCTAAGGCAGTAAGACCCTGTTGGGTTCAAATATAAAAAAGTGGCTAATCTTATGATGGTGACATAAAGAGCTTGAAATGGGGAAGGTTATTTCAGTGAATGAAACCATGAATCTCAGCAATGATTAGGGTAATAAGGAAGATCCAGAAGTGGCTTGTCCATTTAGGTGAAAGAGAAGGGCATCATGACCAGAAGGAGAGAGGAAGACCAAGTGCCCAATGTTAATTGGGGAGGAAAGGAGTCAGGAAGATGCTGAGTTAGATAGTGTTGGTTGAAATTCCAGAGGAGGGTATGGCATAATGAGATGACATAACAATGGGGTAAGAAGGTGGTAGGGGAGAGGTAACAGCTGAGGCATGAGACCAGGAGGCAGAATTGACAATGTATACATGAACTCAAAATGAGTGATAGAAAGATATTTCTTTGGGTTGGCTGTCAGTCCCAGGAGAGCCAAGGGTAAGAGTTTTATCCAATCTACATGGTGTTCTTGTGAGTGCTTGATAAGAATGTTTTGGAGAGAGTGATTGAACTTGCCTGAGGACTGAGGAGGATAAAGGGTATGGAAACACTGTGGGATGTTGAGATTTTTCAATAAATTTTGGAAGATTTCAAAAGTGAACTCAGGCCCATTTTCTGATTTAAGGGAGGTTGGAAATAGTGGCTGATCTCCTAGAGAAGGACAAGGAGACTGTCTGTGACTACCTATTAGAGATGGTCATTGATCATTGGCCATTGGTCTGTGTTTTATAGTTGCATTAAGAAGCAAACTACATTATCAGAAATAACTACCAAGAGAGCAGAAGGAGCATCATAGGCCTGAAGTGTCCTTTTTCTGGGAAGATTATGGAAGTATTTGGGGTTTAATTGAGAAATTACCCTTATAGTCTCAGGCATTTGAACACTTAGTATTCAAACAGTAATGCTATTTGGGAGGTTTAGGTAGTTCAGCCTTATTGGAGGAAGTATGTAATTGAGGATGGGATTTGGAAGCTAAAATGTGCACTCTTAGCTCTATCTTCCAATTGCCATGCCTGCTGTCATGTTGTCAAGGCCATTATGGCCTCCAACTCTCAACACTTTCTTCTATAACTTGCCTCAGTCAAGGTGTTTTTATCACAGTAACAGAAAAGTAATGAATACTGAAAAGCAATTGCAGGTTCAGAGCTTCAGGGCTGCTCTATGGTAGCCTAGAAGAAAAGTATCCTGAAAGACATTCAGATATGGAGGCCTAGCTTGTGGAATTTCTGAGGGAAGATTGAGAGTCTTTTGAAGACTCTATTGGGGGCTATTCATGCAATATATGTGAATTAATGGTCTGTGGAAGTGAAACTTTCAATGCTTTATGGAAACAATTGATGCTGCTTAACCGGGCCTGAAAAAGTAGCCATGATAAATAATCATTGAGGAAAAATTGCATAGGAAATATTTCCTCAGGTCAACACAGAGAAGTTTCAGTACAGGGTAGCCAAGGCTGCATCTCAAACTGGTATGTGAACTTGAAAATATGTAAGAAAAGCCCAAGTGGCATTTAATTTGAATGTATTTGAGAGGATTATGGAGACAAGTTGAAGGATGGCACCATGTGGCAGGGTTGGAATTCCAGAAGAGAGTCCACCTGCCCCCCTCTGGCTAGATAGTGTAATGTTAATGATGGGAATTTTGTTCTGATCAATAGCATGTGTATGATTACAATCACATAGCAATATTGTTTTTAATTCTTCTGAGATGTTTCTATTATAAAATACCTCATGATATTATGAACAAAACTCCAAAATATGTAAGAAATGAATGTTGCATTTTGCAAACACTAGATCATACTTGATTTGTCTATTTTAAAATTTATGTAATTGTTGCATTCAGGAAATTCAGTGTCACTAGTAATTTTAAGAAACAGTTAATGTCATGACTGTGGCTACCCTATGAGAAAGAGAAAATGTTAAGCATGTGGGAAAAATCTTGCCTTATAGTAAATCACTTTGTATACAGCTGGCCACATTCTTTTCTGGCCTGATGAAATATCATATTTCTATCCAAGCAGCATTTTTATTTTAAGCATTCATACTTCCCCCAAGGAATAATGTTTATATTGCTATCTAGTGTCTGGTTATTACAGTTGTTTTGAATTCTAACAGAAAATCCTGACCTCTGAAGCCCTTTTTATTAAAGACGAGTTGAAACTGTTTCTTCCCACTACATTAAATTAGGATTTTCCTTCTTCAAATATCATAATGCCCTGTATATATCTAGAAGCAAATATTTCATTCTCTTCTCAAAGGATTCATAACTTCAAACAAATCCTAAACCAAAACAACAGGAAATTTAGTATCAAGGGCATAGTATAGAAGCCTAAGAAAACAGAATTAATTAAAGTTTT